TGAGGGTGATGGCCTCAATGAAGCATCCCATCCATCATGCTCTGGTCATTGGCACCTTCAGCACATTCTGAGGAATTTTGTTTCTTAAATCATGAATATATAGATTAGAACTAGGTAGTCAGGCATTAAAAATCAATAACCTCAGAGAACTATAGATACCCATAAATATATTTGTGACTAATGTGACATAATGAAAAGATTAATGAAAACAAATTGGATTCTCAAGAGTGCAATAGAAACAAAGGAAGAAATGGAATCCCTTCAGCTATCTGACTGGCGCTAGATCTTTAGAATCGATCCACAGCTTCCTGAGGTATTGGGACACAGATATAACCAAGTTAGTGTTCCCCTCAATGATCAGAAGGTGAATTTGCATATAGTGAGTGGTAGCCTGAGTCTGTTACAGATTTTATGTATCAGTCTAATAACAGCGTTGTCCACAAGGGGGCACTTGGTACTTTGTCATGAAGGATGCTGTGTTCCTTCAATGGCTACCAGTGAAAAGTATTGCACATCTAGGAGCATGTCTAGTCTTTATGTGATTAGAGCACTTGCAGGTGCACAACAAAATTGAGAGGAAGATACAGAGATTCCCCATATACCTTCTATCCTACTGGTAAATAGCTCCCATCATTTGCCAGAATTAATTTACATTAATTGTTGTCTCATATTTTTCTCTTGTAAACATCCAGTAGTGTGACATTTTTTGTATATAGTTTTTAATGTGTGCTTCAGTATAGCAATTACCATTGTTTCAAAAGATAGGAAACCAAGAGATCTTCCTTTGCTATTTGTGATGGAGAAAAATGACATTTTAAAAAACCTATGTAGATCTGATTTCAGATATGTAAATTATGTTCTGAAATTTCTTATTTTTACCCTATGGGTTCAATTTACTGTTATGAAATCACCTTTTACAAGCAAGTTAAAGAACATAGGCGAAATATGATACTACCGGGAATGTTAAGAAGTGATTAGTATCAAAAGATACAATAGCTCTTACACGATAGAATTAATTTTGTGTGTGTGATTGTTTTGGTTAATTTCATCTTCCATTTAATTATAACTTTAGTATGTGTCTCCAGCCTATGGGTTTCTAGTATGTGACTTCTAATTACATCATCAGATAAAAACAGCTGCTGGGGAGATCAAGAGCATTGTATTATGAATCTTCCCATGAATTTAAAATGATGGGATGAGAGAGTATGTGTTTCCGGTAAAATAATTTTAAACTGTTTAATAATTTTGGAATCAGTAAAAGAATCAAATCCAGAATGAACCTTAAAGTTATTGTATAAGTATATTTAATATTAACAATTTTAAAGGATTTTGATTAGAATACTGGTTTTATAAATAATTACAAATATCTTTACAAGGATCAGAGTATGTCATACTAATGAAGTTTTCACAAAATATAGAATGTGTTCTTGTTTTCTCCCTGGGACAATTTTTTTAAATTTTATTTTATAACAGTTTATTTTTACATCATTTTGTACATTTTTTACATTTTTTTTTCCATCTCAATTGTAATCCCCGTGGGTTTCCCATCACCATGTCACCCGTGTGCCATCACCATAGTTCCCTGGGACAATTTTTAACATTAATTAATAAATAAAGTCTTTATGTATTTAGATAATTTTTATGTGCACAATAAAATTGAGAGGAAGATACAGAGATTTCCCATATAGCTCTCTACCCTACTGGTGTTGAGCTTCCTTCATTAGCAACGTCACTTACCAGAATTGCTTACATTGACCTATCATTAATCACTCACAGTTTACTTGAAGGTTTAATCTTGGTATTTTATGGAATGTATCTGAATTCCATGGATTTGGATAAATATATAATGACATAAATCCATCATTATAATGCCATACAGAATATATTCACTGTTGTAAAATCCTCTGGTTCTGTCTATTCATTCTCTTCCCATTCTCCCACCCCTGGCAACAACTGGTCTTTTTGCTATCTGGATAGTTTTTCCAGAGTGTTAAGTACATGGAACCAGATACTATATATTTTTTTCAGATTGAATTCTTTTTTTTTTTTTTTTTTTTTTTTTAAAGATTTATTTATTTGTACATATAGAACTGGGGTACAGGCCAGAGGCTCAGGGGCGGTGAGAGGCTTCACCAGAGACAGAGTGGGGAGCAGAACAGGCAGATCGATGAAGTACACTGCTGAGGGGAGCAGCGGGCGGTCAGGAGAGGTCTGCCACGCCATGTGGATCTCCTCCGGGGCAGGCGGGAATCGAACTCATGCGGAAGTGGCTTTAGCTTCTCAGTGCTGTACTTTAACCCGCTGCGCCACCAGGGAGGGCCCAGATTGAATTCTTTTACTTCACGAAATACACATTTCTTTTTGGCATCAAACAAATTTCATTGTCTGGATTACCACTTTATTTATTTATGTACCTAGTGAGGTACATCTAGGTTGTTTTCAAGTTTTGGCACTTAATAAATAAAGCTGCTGTCAACATCTGTTTAATGAGGACATACATTGTCCTTTGGGTAAGGACTTTGGGTAAATATGTTGTATTATATGGCAAGAGCATATTAGTTAGAAACCACGAGCCTCTCCTAAAGGAACTCTACCATTTTTGCATCCCCAGCAGTGAGTGAGAGTTCCTGTGTGAGGATGGTTGCTTGTTCTACAACCTTATCAACATTTAGTGTCACTGGCATTTCAGATTTGGGCCATTCTAAAAGATGCATAGCTATACCTCATTTTTTAAACTTGCATTTCTTTGGTACAATACAGTGTGAAGAATCTTTTCCTATGCTTATTTTCCATTTGAATATTTCTTTTGGTAAGGTATTTTTAAGGACTGCTTTTTAATCAAGTATTTGTAATTGTCAACTTTTAAAGATTTATTTGTGCATACAGAACTGGGTACAGGCCCGAGGTGCAGGGGCAGTGAGAGGATTCACCAGAGACAGAGTGGGGAGCAGGACAGGCCAACTGGCGAAGTACACTGCTGAGGGGAGCAGTGGGTCTGTCAGGAGAGGTCTGCAGTGCCATGTGGGTCAGCTCTGGGGCGGGGATCAAACTCACGCTGAAGTGGCTTCAGTTTCTTAGTACTGTGCTTTAACATGCTGTGCCACCAAGGAAGGCCCTCTAATTGTCAGCTTTTACTTAAGAGTTCTTTGTATATTTTGGATAAGTCTTTATTTTGTATATTTTACAAATATTTTCTCCCAACCTATGAGTTGTTCTGATTTTCTTCATATAGTTTTTCACAGGCTAGAAGTTTTTAACTATATTGAAGAATGGTTTATTAGTTCTTTCTTTTATCGATAGTGTCTTTGGTGTTAAAAGGCATCACCATCCACAAGATCTTTAGGTTTTCTCTTATGTTATCTTTTACATATTTATAGACTTGCATTTTATATTTTGGTCTGTAGTTCATTTTGAATTAATTTGCAAAGGATGGGAAGTATGTGTCTATATTCATTTATTTATTTATTTTTGTATGGGGATGTCTGATCCTCTGGCACCATTGGTTGAAGAGTATTTTTACTACATAGTTTTACCATAGTATTTGTACACAATATTTCCATAGTATTTGCCTTTGTCAAATATCAGTTAACAGAGCCCTCACTGGCACAATGGGTTAAAGTGCAGTGAAGCTATCCACAATCACTGCAGCATGAGTTCAACCCCAAGCCAAGGAGGTGACCCACATGGCATGGCAGACCTCCTGTTTCACCAGTTGCTCCCTTCAACAGTGTGTTTCAGTAGATCTGCCTATTGTGTTCCCCATTCTTTCTCTGGTGAATTCTTTCACCCACCACATGTCTGTCTTCTACCCTAGTTCTTGTATATATAAATAAATAAGTCTTAAAAAAAGGATCAGTTGACAAAGGACCTGTTTTTCCTTGGACCTAATTTTGGGCTCCCTATTCAGTTCCATTAACCTTTTTGTCTTTTTTTTTTTCTTTCACTGTCTACTATAGCTTTATAGTAAATCTTGCAGTGTATAATGTAATTACTCCATCTTTGTTCTTTTTCTTCAATATTATGGTGTCTATTTTGCATCTTTTAGAATCAGTTGTCAATATATATAAAATAACTTGCTGGGGATTTTATTGGGAATTTACAGATCAAATTTAGAAAACTGACAGCAATGTAGAGTTTTCATCATGAACATGGAACTATCTCTCTGTTTATATTGTTCTATGATTTTGTTCATCAGGGTTTTGTAGTTTTCTCAATAATCTTGTACATATTTTATTAGCTTTACACATAAGCATTTCATTTTGGAGGACTTGTAATTCTCACTGTATGGCATCATTGGCCCAATGTCTGGCCCGTGAATGTTTGATGAATATTTTTTTAGTAAGTGGATGAGTTTTGAAATGATACCACGACAAATAATCTACTCAAGATGGAAATAGTAGCAAAATAAAATTTAATCACAATGAAAACATATTAATAATGGTTTAGCCTTAAATACACAACTGAACAACATCCTGTTTGATCAGTATTCTATTGATCAATATTCCAGAACACGTGCTTTCATCGTATTACTTTTTAAATAATTTCCAACAGTGCCCAGTGCTTACATTACGTTACACTGATAATAATGGCATGGATACATACAGGATAATTGTTTAACATGAGCTGTCTTCAAAGTTGGATTACCTAGGCTCTAATTCTAGTTCTGCCATTCATTAGCTGTGTGTTTTCAGGCTAGTTATTTAACCTCCATCAAATGCAGTATTTTCACTGGTAAAATAGAAATACATTAGCCACCTCAAAGACTGCAGTGAGGAGTGAATGAAATAATCTTTGGAGAGCACTTAGCATAGTAAATGGCATATCATCAGGATTCAATAAATATTATAATAATTATTATTACTTAAACCATGCATGTTATAGAATTACAAGGTCACAATTTTATGGGGTAGAAGGCATTCACCAGTGAATATATTGATGATAATTTTTTACTATTGTTTAAAACACTAATGCATGAAGAAATTTGCTATTTATACTTTTAGGAATCTTTAATTACATTACTTAAACAGCAGGAGAGGAAAGAAAGGAGCCTTGAAAGTCAAGTGAAAGTCTATGTGCTCAGACTGGAACAAGAGACAAAAGTTTGCTCTTATTCTATACTAGGAAATTTAACTGAAGCTACCATGAATTTTAGTATATTATCTACAGATCTATACCATTACCTCATAATTTTTATAAAGTTATTTCCTACACATTTTTTTCCCTAAAAAAAAAAAGTAGACACAAACTTAACAGCAGTCTTTCTAGTTCTACCAATCTACTCTGATGGTGGATTCATTCCTTGTGTGTCTCTCCTGTAGGCTTACCAGAAAACCAACAATGAGTGCTGTACATGCCTTGCTGAGATATCCTAGGTAACTTTTCAAATTTTTACTTCCAAATTGGAAGGTTCCTCTTCCTATAAATTATGTTTTCCATTTTTCTGGATTTTTATTTGGTGGGAAAACAGATAGAAAGTTACATACTTTCTAATAAGGAAAACACATAACATTTATTGAAAGGTTAGAAAAAGATGAAAATTCCAAATAAGAGAATATCTGCTTTCTTAGTTATTCTTTTAGTTTGATCTGTGATTACTGGAATTCAAGCAAATAAGCAGTTGTCATTCTACTATCATGTTATTCAAGGCATTTCACGTCATGATTGAGCACATGTGATCTAAGGAAGCTTCAGTTGCTGTTACTAATGTGTGTACTTGCAAATGACAAGACAGAAAAGTCATCAGCAATAGTGGGTAAGAGGAAGCTGGGACTTCTCATGATGACTAGGAAATCGAGATAAATGGTATCGGATGGTAGAATCTCTTACTCTGGAAAACAGACAATCGATTCAACACCTAGATATCCTGGTTGGAATCTACAGGTGCTCTCCTGCCTTCTTCAGACTATGCATTGTACTTGGAATATGCTGCATATTCCTTACATGAGAACTCTGTTTCCATTAAGACTGAGTGCAAATGCTCTTGATGAACACAGGAGATGCTAAACACCAGGCTTTTGTCTTCTCAAATTTGCAAATTTGGTTTTGAATCTCAGCTCCCTACTTATTTTGAATCTCAACTCAAGACCTTCCTGAGTCTTGATTTCTTTCCTGTCCTGTAAAAGGAAGATAATACTATCTTGCCAGAGATTATGAGTTTTTAAAGATAATGTATGGAAAGTGCTGAGTGAAATTCCTGGCACATAATAGGTTCTAAATTCCAGTTGATTGTGAATTTTATTTTCCTGTTTTTCTTTGCTGACCTCCTTGCCTTTCTCTCTGTGACAGAAGCATCAGAATTTCTATGTGCTTTACCTTGTTTGTCTGAAAAATTCACTACATGGAACAGTTCCTATTCTGATTATGCAGGATCATCGACCATAATATTAAAGCCTGTTTTACCAGCTTCCCAGAATGATGTTAATCCTATTCCTCAGTATGTATTAATAAGAATTTTCACTTTTGAGTAAATTGTTTACATATAAACAAAATGGCTAGGACCATGTGGACACGTTGGTGACTGCAATGTCACTGAATGATTTGCAGTTCTTTTGATGCTTAGTACCTAAACAGCTGAATCTTTGACAGATAACTAGAGCTCTTGACTGAGTCTGCGTTTTGTACTTCTACTTCTCACTGGTATTACTGAAGCTGAGTTTCCACAGTTAAGAGTTGTGGATATAGCATAAATATTACTTTTTAAGAAAACACAGACCTGCTGCATTACTGAAAAGTCAGGCAGGAAGACTAAATGAAGCTTATTGCAATGTTACTTCTATTCCCATTAACATAGAATTTTAACAATTAGTCTGAGATACTTGAATATAATGTGATTTACGATAAGTAACCTAAGGCCAGTCCATTTTATTGTTAGGAAGTTCTAATTGTTGGAATTGTTAAAGCATCATACAACACTCCTCATTTTCCATCCTTGAAATGTCCTTTACATTCTTTGATTTTATCCTATCCTTTGAAGAACGTAGAAGTATTAACTCATCTTTAAGGAGGCTTTTCAAAGATTTGAAAACAACTATTAGTCTTCCTAGCTGCTTGTGTGTTGTTAGTTGTTTGTTTTAGCTAAAATAAGATACATTAGTCATTCCTTAACACATAGTTTCCTGACTGGCCATAACATTCTTAACTGGCCATAACAGGTGTTAAGATCCACTAACATGAGGGGTGGTGCTTGAGGTTTAACCATCTGTTGTAATACCAGCAGGGAGATGCTGTTTCTCTAGGCTGGGCTGCAGGTGACAAAGGTCAAAATTTGGAGAAGGCTTCTGAGATCTATGTGCATGGAGTTCAAAACATCTCAGGTTATTTCAGACCTAGATTTATACTATTTCAGGGGTATATAATCGGAGACACCTATTATATTTTTTAGGCTTTGCATTTTAGCACAGGTTGGCTTTTATCTCTCCTTGACTTGTGTGTGTGTATGTGTGTATAACAATATACCTCCTATGCAAGGGACCTTAAAAAAAAAAGAAAAAGAAAGCTAGCAGGGCCTACCTGATGTCTTAAGGGTTAAATCTCAGCCTTATAACCTGAGTTGGACCTCCAGCCAGGGAGGTAACCCCCATAGTATAATTCAGTAAATTTACCTATTCTGTTCCCCACTCTGTCTCTGGTGAATCCTCTCCCCTTCCCACCTTCTGACCTATACCCCATTTCTTCTACCCAAAAAAAGTAAATAAATAAAATGTTTGCATAATTACTTCATTTCAATCATACCCATTTCCTGATCAGTCAGTATCATTATATTATCAATCTCTTTGGACTAGCTCTATTTTGTTATTTAAACACAGAGCACCTCAGGTTTAAGTCTAGACTTGAGATGTCACTGCAACAGCCTAGCTAATAACATTTCATCCCAACCATACTTATTTCCTTCTCTGTTACCTGAGGGATAATTCTGAAATTCAGATATTATGGTAGCATTCTCCTTTAAAACCTCAAATGAGCACAGTATCCAAAGGATTTCAGTAAACTTTCTTGACACTGAAGATCCTCTCTGACAAGCAGTTCCTGACTCTCCAGCCTGTCGTTACACCCTGCCCTGCAGGCAGACCAATGAATGTTTGATTTCTGCTACTGTTAAGCTACTCTGCCTTTAGGTCCTTGCTGGCTGTTCTACCTAGAATGTCCTTCCCCTAGTTCTTAATTCCCTACTCTTCCATGTAGATGTCCCTCTAGTCTGAAATAGCCACCTCTGGTGTGTGCTTACAAAGCAGCCTCAGTAAAATACACTGAATTATACAATCTGTTTCGTTTAATTTTTTCTCCAACAGATTGTGATTACTATAACGTGGCTTTCTATCCTGGTACTTAATCCAGTCATGGCACAGAGTAGATGCTCAAAAACATTTGCTGAGTGCATAAATGAGTAAATTCCATCTTCTGGTCTGAAGTGTCCAAATTTGTCTCTCTTAGCAAATAATCTTACACCCCGAAGAAGAGTTCATCTGGTGTGAAATGGCTTCCTTTTTATATTCAAATCTATTAACATCTTTACCCAGCATTGCTGTTTCTCATCCTTTTCTTTTTTTATAAATAAATTTATGTACTTATGCATATAGAACTGGGGTACAGGCCAGAGGTGTGAGGTGTGTGTGTGTGTGTCAGAGAGAGAGAGAGAGAGAGAGAGAGAGAGAGGATTCACCAGAGACAGAGTGTATTCACCAGAGGCAGAGTGGGGAGTAAACAGGCAGATCCATGAAGTACACTGCTGAGGGGAGCAGAGGGGGGGTCAGGAGAGGTCTGCTGTGCCATGTTGGTCACGTCCCTGGCCAGTGGATCGAATTCCTGTTGCAGTGGCTGTGCTAGGATAGCCCTCTGCTCTCTTTTTAAATATTACCCCTCCTTGATTTTTTTTCAAAAATTGTTTTAAAATTTATTGATTTATCCAGACAGAGCTGGGTTACAGGCTAGAGGTGCAGGGACAGTGAGAAAATTCACCAGGAGTCAGAGTGGGGAGCAGAACAGGCAGATTGATAAAGTACACTGCTGAGGGGAGCAGCAGGCCAGACAGGAGAGGTCTGCTGTACTATATGGAGCACCTCTGGATTGGGAATCAAACTCTCACTGAAGCCACCTGGCCGGCTTTGCAGTGCTGCGCTTTAATTGCACCACCAGGGAGGTCCCCCCTCCTTGATTTCTATGACAGATTTTTAACTGGGTTCTTCTTTTGTTTAAATTATAGTCCTATATTTAGTGATTCTCCTGTCCCTTTAAAGTTTCTTCCCTTTATTTATTACAGAAACTTTCTTATTTCTCTGTGTGCTCTTAACAAGCGATCTCATTTACTAATGGTTTCAGTTGCCATCTCTAAGTTCATTAGTTTCAATTATTCCAGAATTGCAGGCTATATTTATAGTGCCCACAAACACTTTTTTTGTTGTTGTTGTTCTGAGGGAGTCTCAAAATAGACAAAAATGAACATATGATCTTGTATTTTAATTTTCGCCCACAGCTTCTATTGTTTTACCTACCTTAATGACAGCATGCATGTATTAATTATATTTGGTGTCTATTAAAAAATTTTAATGATCTCTACTACATGAATGATAGGAATTTTGTATCATTCTCTATATTTTAAAAATTGCAAGGACTGGGCCCTTCTTGGTGGCACAACTGGTTGGAGTGCAGCACTATGAAGCTATCCATAGCCACTGCAGCATGAGCTCGATTCCCAGCCAGGGAGGTGATCCACATGGCACGGCAGACCTCTGCTGTCTTGCCTGCTGCTCCCCTCAGCAGTGTATTTCAGTAGATCTGCTTGTTATGTTGCCCACTCTGTGGTGAAATCTCTCAACCCCCTGCACCTTGGGCCTGTACCCCAGTTCTTGTATGCATAAATAAGTAAAACTTTAAAAAAAAATTGCAAGGACTGTTAGGTTGAGATACAGGTGTTTCCAGAATGATTAGAAACTTGATAATGTTAGAGAGTCCCAGAATTTCTCATCTTTCTTTAGCTCTCCCTCTACATCTAAATGATCTGGGTATGAGCTAACTGAATATGGACTATTCTTATTATCTCTGAAATCAATCATGAAATAAAAGAATAAAATACCCAACTTTTTGTATTTTAGATCTCTGGCTCACAACAAGCTTCTAAAAGGCAACAGATGGATCAACTGCCTAGAATGAAAGAAAATCTAGTGAAAACGTATGTCTAACTATATCTTTCCTTTCTAATTAATTATATTTGCAAGTTAATGGTACTGACAAAACAGGTGTCTATTATATTTGGTAGGCTGAACTTCTAGATTTTATAGCAGCAACATACAATAACAGATGGCATGAGAACTTAAAGAAGTTTGTATTATCTGTTCACTATTTATATACATTTTTGTGGATCCATTTTTGTATTTCATTAAAATAATATTGCACCTAAGGAGAGTTTAAAACTACACCACTAACAACAGTATAAACAGCATAAATAAAATTGTCAGGCTTTTTGGTGAGGAAATATGTACACAGAAATAAATGTTGATGATAGTGCATGATAGATTGTTTTCCTATGTAAGCATAAACAATTGAGGATAACTAAAATAAAGAGAAATATTTTATGGAATTAGGAATTAGGAGTTTATATATATTAATACATACTTTTTTTTCCTGGGCCTATACTATGGATGAAGACTTATCAACCTTGTTTTATAGATTCGGGTCTTATAAAACCTTGTCCATGTAGGGAAATATATTCATATATAATTTAACAATATAAAAAAGGTAAATCAAGGTCTAAACACTGCTCTTAAGCAGAATGTTTGATATTCAAATATAGACACTCAAGTTTTCTGCAACATAGCAAATTTCTTTGGTGGAGTATCAGGGGATAGTAATAATTGTTCAATATCTAGATTTGGCTAGAGGGATAAAAGTATATTATTCATTGAATAATCATAAATACTTTAAAATTCATTATTTGTGTATATTTTCATTAATGTAAATATTAGATAGTTAAAACATTCAATTCTAGAAAATGACTTCCTTTTCATACCTATTAGTCTTCTGTGTTAGGGGACCCAAGACTACTAATATGCTCAGTGACTTGTTAGAATGACTCACAGGATTCAGTATCTTTTGTCCACAAGTTTAGAGTAATTATAATGAAAGGATACAAAGCAAAATCAGAGAAAAAGGTACATGGCACAAAATCTAGGGAAAACCAGGTGCAAATTTCTAAAAGCCCACTCCCTGTGGAATCACATAAAAAACACATAATTCCAACTATGAGTTGTGACGTGTGACGGCAGGTCAAGTATTATCTTCCACGAAACTCATTACATATTTATCACCCAAATTTTTTATTGGGGCTGGTCATGCAGGTACCCTTTGACTGGCACATACCAAAAATCTAGACTCCCTTAATGAAAGCAGATGTTTAGCATAAACTGTATTGCTAGTACAGTTTAGGCACAGAGAGCTATTCTTTTCATTTAAGGAAAGTTTTATATCATTGTAGGGAACTATTTTTTTTTTAAGATTTATTTATTTATGCATACAGAACTGGGGTACAGGCCAGAGGTGCAGAGGTGTGAAAGGATTCACCATAGACAGAGTGGGGAGCAGGACAGGCAGATCGATGAAGTACACTGCTGAGGGGAGCAGCAGGAGGGTCAGGAGAGGTCTGCCACGCCATGCGGGTCACCTCCGAGGCTGGGATCAAACTCATGCTGAAGTGGCTTTAGCTTCTTAGTGCTGTGCTTTAACCTGCTGCACCACCAGGGAGGGCCCATAGGGAACTATTTATTCCAAAGTTCCCAGATCTCAGCAAGGGGCCAACCTTGCAACCAGAGCTAAGAATAGCAGACTTATCTGCTCTGTTAACTCTTTCTGCACAACCATCCTAAGTACTATTTATTTTATATTTCCACAACATCTTAAACATCATTTATTTTTCTATCCAAATTTGTTTTTAAAAGGTATCACCTCTCTTTTAAATTTGTTTAAACAGTGAAGGGAGAGGTATTTTGAAACTAAGAATAAAACTTATTTTAATAATGTATTAACACACATACACAAATGAATTTATCTACCTCTATACTGGTTTAGGAGGGCAGTTTGTCTTCCACTGAATGTGGTTGTAGGTTATATTTCTCAAGGGATAAGCTCTGAAATGGAAATCAGCATACCAGCAGTTTATTAAGGAGCATTCCTAGAATGAAAGCTTGTGGGGGAGACAGGAACAGGTTTGAGAAGAAAGAATAAAGCTTTAGCGCAACTGCAGTCCCCAGTGCCCAAGTGTTGATAACTGCCCATGAACCAAATATGTACTTTCTCTTCCTTTGGTGGGATGACCTAGACCCTTAGACCTAAGAGTAGGAACTCTATGCCATGTCCTTTCTAGGCCATGGTTAAGATATGAGTCAACTAGTTGGCAGAGCTTTGGCATGACGTCGACTGGCATATGGACTTAGATAAGAAAGGCATGTGAAAGCGCATGCGTCTGGGGGAACACTCTTGAGTGCTGGGTCTGAGCTCCAAGAACGTGAGAAAATAGGTCATGTGAGCAAGCAGCCACATCTGAGAAAGATAGTAAAAGAGCTTATCAAGATAAATGTCTGGGTATATGCAAAGGCTTGGCCATCTGGGGCTGCACAGAGTGTTCCAAGATTTAGAACACCAGATATAGAGTTAGAATAAGTCACTATGCTATTGTTACTGCTAGAGATTGTCTAGATGAAGTCAATATGCTCTTGTTTCAGCTAGATTTGTTTCAGCTAGATGTGGACTATATAAAGAGCACGCTGCAAAATAAAGATGCACTGCATGCTGGACATAGCAGTCATCCATCTGGTTTGTCCTTCACAGGCATGCCTCAGGGCTCAGACCCACTAGAGGTCCACATTTACTTATTGTCAAAATTGGGCAAAATGACGTTGACAAGCACTCAGGCAGACTTGGCACTTAAGTGCCTACCCATCTATTCTTTATGTAGCAGCAGCTCTATGCATGTTGACAATCAATTTGTCTGTAGGGCCTTCCATGTTATCTAAGTCTGAACTTAGCTTGAGGTACTAGTGCATCTGAGATGGATGACATGTTCTAGGAAACAAGCTTATAAGCTCATCTATACCCTCAGCATACTCAATTGAACTCAGATGGAATCTCTTATGGACTCTAATTTTAAATATAGTAGTTGGCATAAATATGTGTTTAATGCCTTTTAAATGAACGTATGAGTGAATAAATGTGGTCACATAAACAGACTATACCCCTTTACTTCCGTAAATATTAATAACCCAAATAACATGTATAATAAAAATACATTTTTATATGCCTATAGTCTTACTTCTGAATAACAGAAAATATTTGCACATCATTTACCTGACAAGGGACTAATATCCAAGAACTCATACAATTCAACAAAACAGGAAACAAATAACCCAATCAGACAATTGACAAAAGAGCTAAATAGACCTGTCTTTAAAGAAGATATACAAGTGGCCTACAAGGACATGTACAAAGGCTCTATATCCTTGTCATCAGAGAAATTCTTGTTATCAGAGAAATGCAAATCAAAACCACAATGAGATACTACCTCACACCATATTAAAAAAAATCGGCAATAACAAATGTTGGTGAGGGGATGAGGAAAAGGTATTCTTGTATACTTTTGTGGGAATGTAGACTAACCCCACCCCAGTGGAAAAAATCAAGGAAGTTTCTTAAAGTTAATAATAGCTCTTTCATATGATCCAGCAATGCTACTTTTATGTACCTATCCACAGAAAACAAAAACACCAATTCAAGAGAAAGATACAACCCTATGTTCACTGCAACTGTGTCTTCAATAGTCAAGATATGGAAACTACTTAAGTGCCCAGCAACAGGATGATTGGATGAGTATATGCACAATGGCATACTACTGAGTTATACTATTAAGACGTGGTGAAATCTTGCCATTTGCAACAACATGGATGGCCATTCTCACAGGTGTAAGATGCTACTTCACTGTGGTGAAGTCACAGTGAGCATTTTATCATGATCATAAGTCACAGTGAGCATTTTATCATGAGTCTGTGGTCATCTGCATATCTTTGGGGAACTGTCTATTTAGTTTTTCTGACCATTTTTTCAAAAGATTTATTTTTACATATTTATATATAACAACTGAGGTATAGGCCAGAGTTGTGGAGGGGTGAGAAGAATCACCAGAGATAGAGTGGAGAGCAAAACAGGTGGATCTACTGAAATACACTGCTGCGGGAGCAGCAGGAGAAACAGGAGAGGTCTGCTATGTGGGTCACCTCCCTGGCAGGGAATCAAACTCACGCTGCAGTGGCTACAGACAGCTTCACAGTGCTGTACTTTAACCCATTGAGCCACAAGGGAAGGCCGTGATATCTTTCTATTACCTAATAGAATACCTTGTTGGCTTATTGTGTCATCTTCACTTACTATATCTTGTTTTGTTAGAGAAGATAGTATGTCATAGTTTTAATTTTATTGTAACTTTAGTTAATTTATAAGTTTGGCTTACTCATAGACCCTTATTTCTTGGGCCTGTTTTGGATTCATGGCCTCACTCTCTGTTTCTCAGTTTCAATTCAAATTTATAGGGCCAAGTATCAGAATGCTCCATTTCATTTATTTTGGGCACAGTTTTCCATATTAGGTCACTGCATGGCCTTGGGATCAACTGCCCTTGAACTGGCTGCCCTTCTAGTTGTGGTGAGATGACATAACATGCGGCTACTTATAGAAATAACTGCACTGTAATCTAGCTTCTTCACAAGGAAATACCTACATGAAGGACTGTGGGCAGGGTGAGCTAGTTGCAATATACAGTTCCTCCTGTGTGGCATAGAATGTTTGTTGTACAAACTGGTGGCTTAAAAATCATACTTAGTACTTGTTTTTCTCCAGGGGAGAACATACTTAAGTGCCCAGCAACAGGCTGATTGGATGAGTATATACACAATGGCAGAAGACGATGAATACCAAGAAGGGACAAGTAAAAAAGATTACAAGATCAGACCATCTTCCAAGACTCAACCAATGATTCCAGAACCGGGTGGATTTCTATTTCTTCCATTTTTTCATCTGTATTAATCAATTTGTGAAGTTGTTGTTCAATTTTCAGGGAATGAAATAAATGAGAACTATCAAACTTTAAATCTTCTTTCAGTAGTTTGTTTCTTTGTCTGCATGAAAGTAATTTTATCAAGTGACCCTAAAATATCTAATAACTGCTTTGTTTTAAAAAATATTTCAGAAACCTAAAAGTTAGCATCATTACAGTTGTTTTTAATATTATATCCCTTATCTTCTCTGATAGTGACATGCTATTAATTTTGGTTTTATTTATTTACTTAAAAAATGTGCATTCATTCAAACTTTTTGCTATTTTAGTCTATATTATTTAGTTTTTTAAACTCAGGGTTTCAGCAAAGATACAATTCAAATACTTTTTAACTTTCATTAGACCTACTAAGTATTGTGGAAACAGCCTTTAACTAGGAATCATTTTGACTATAAATAATCCCCACTTTGTCTTGAATTTATGAGATCTTGGTCAAGTTCCTATTAATTCTCACATAGGAAAATAATTGGGGCAAAATATACACCTTCTAAGATTCCTTATTATTCTAGAAAACAATACCTAAATATTCAACTATAAGGTCCTACCATTTAGCACATGGTAAAAAGTAAAATTATATGCTTATTAATTAATAGTGGTTTTATATTTACTATATTTATTTTCCTTGTTAAGCTAACTATTATGTATATCAGATTCCATGTTATTCAACAAATACTTGATTTTTATATCATGAGTTTTTTTTATACTAGCATTAAACTGACAATTTAAATACTAGTGGAATTATAATAGAATTATAGAATTATCACTGGAAAATATAAACAAATTTGTTTCTATGACATTGGGTTAAGTCACTTTGGGATTGGATTGAGGAATCTTTAAATTATATTAATTGAATACCTTATTATGTAGACTCTATAATGTTTAAGTGTTAGGTTTGCAGGAAGTACTTTGGGGATGCTTTTTAGATGTCAGAAAATGTCTTAAGAATGAATATTGTGGGGTGGGATAAAGAACTGAAATGGGGATTCTGAGATCTGTGCCTTAAAGCACAGTTTTGCTGCTTTTAAGTTTCTAACTTGTAGTAAATTACTCTTTGTTGCCTCACTTTCATCATTTATAGAGTTGAGGAATTAATTGCTGTGCAGATCAAGAATACTAAATAATTATTTTTCTAAAAATGATGGTATGTTAGCTTTTACTAGATGGGGTGGTATAAAACCACACCTATAAGATAAAAGATGAAAATACAAGTTAGTTTTGAAAGAACATCCAATTAAGGAAAGCTCTCACATCTGCTACCTAGTAAAGAATGATATACAAATACAGAAAATATTTTACCTAGTTCTAAGATTCTGTGTGGAATTTGTCATGGGAGTTTTTTTAAGTAAATATAACAATTTATTGAAATAACAAGAGCAAAAATGATAGCAGAGGTCTTCATTTTGTTTACTACTGAAATAAATTTTATGTTAATATTTGGTTTTTTTGAAGTGTTCAGAATTCATAAATCAAAAAACCAGACTCCAGTACGACATTTTAATCACTTTTGTCTTTTTGCCTAGTTTTCTGGCTATCACAAGGGCCTTAACTAAGTATTGACAAGTAGGGAAAGAAAAGGTTGGAAGTAAAGGAAAATTTCCTGCTTGAAGTTTTCTAAAGCCTATTTCATCAAGCTTTTCCATTGTTTATGTATTCTTTTCTTCAATTTCTTTAACACTGCTTAGACATATTACTCTAGTTTTACTACCTGCTTTGAAAACTAATTATATATTGGAATTATATACTAATATATATATACTAATTATATATATTTTCTAGGAAACTTAAGGCAGTCTATTATTTCAGTTACTTATTTTTATTACATTAAAATATCAGTATTGTTTCAATAAAGTTATCTGCCCTCACTTTCCTAACACACGTAAGTTATCTTTGAGACTTATTTTGTCTATCTTCATTCTACAAGAGAAAAATATTGGGCAGGTAAGTGAAATAAGCTTTTTATAGGTTATATAGCTTGTTAAAACACGTTTCTTTTTCCTCCACAAGTCTATTCTCTCTTCACATATCTCTGAATCGTTTTTGGAGTCAACCTCACCTTTAAAGAATTGGATGGTAAGTTTATATACCAGAAATATGTCTTTTGGTGTTATAAGTAAACTAAATTCCCTTTTTGTAGATTCTGCTGCAGCTATTTTGAGACAGTCAAAATAATATTGTATGTATGACTTTGTACCACTATGTTAACATTCTAATAGTAAGTCTTCCCATAATAACATAAACTTTATTTTGCAAATAACCATTCTAGATTGTTCTAAAGTTTTTGGGTGAGTTTAAAGATTGTTGTTAATTCTTTATTTTGTATGTTTGGTAAAATTTCACTGTCATCAGTTGAGCTTTTCCTTGTTGGGCAATTTTTGATTATTGATGCATTCTCTTTATTAGTAATGCCAACTAATTGTCACATAATTTTGTCCATATTTTTATCTTCTTCATAACATGAACAGAAAATTTGCCCTTAGTGTTCCATAAAGGTCAAAAGTAACACGTTTGTTTTTAAACTTGAAGCGTGCAAAATCCTTTTTAAAGTCCTTATAAAGATCCATTTTGCTTCAAGCCTTTTCCACTTATTTTATATTATCATGTAAACATATTTTTTCTCACTTTAATTGCTGAAATTTGCACTAAAATGAATGGACAGTCTTTATCTTGTCTCTCTTGATATGTAGTTGTGTTCTAGGAATAAAGAAGGGAAAGTTTACTTTGGTGATAAAGTTGATGGATCGTGACAAAGATGGT